ACCTGACTGATTATTTCATGTGAGTAATGGAGGATTTGGTTCAATTTCAAATGGGAGTTCATCGTGTATATAGCACGATGAATTCCCATTTGAAATAAGGGATTTGCAAGAGACTTGCCCAGTACAGTAACAGTATTTTAGACGGAAAATGTGGAACGCTTACAAAGCATAAGCACATTGCTATCCTGTTCAAGTCCTAATACTAGTTGAGTTTGAACTCGGTTACCCAGTATTACCCGCTCGGTCTGGTTTAAAGAGCTAAGCCTCCTGGAAGAAATATTACCGAGCCTTCCTTGAATCGGGACTGAACAGCTTCTAAAATTTAACAAGTTTTAAAGTCAGATCAAAACAAGAGCTCGTTAGGCAAATAACTCCAACCCAAGGAATCTGCTTCGTCTATTCGAGTGCCATGAGGAAAGCTACAGATCCGTTTCTTTGAGTTACCCTGTAAATAACTCAAGACACAAGTTAAAAAAAGGCTGTCGCGGCGCAGAACGGCTTCAAGATTCATTCGTAGATGATAAGCTTTCAGATAACACATCTATGTTCTGTAGTTGAAAAAGAGAATAGAGGTATGATCGATTCACGTTCTAATGAGTCAAAAGCCAGTGTGATCCTCAAGGAACATTGTACTCGAATTTTAATGGTCAGCGGGCTCGGCTTCAGTTATCACCACAAAGAGATCGCAAAATTGAAATGAGCTTCTAGGGCACACTCTTCAGAGAGAGGCGTCGCCAGAGTATGGTGCGATCCACTGAGTCGAAAGCCGCTTTTAGATCGAGGAAGATAGAAATGGTGGGTCTATGAAAGGAGTGTCTGTGTTCTATAACTTAACGAAGAGTGAGGATGTGGTCTACACAACCTCGGCCAGGTCTGAAATCAGCTTGGTTCTCACGTGTGCACCGTTCACGTGCTGCAGACAATCGACGAAGAACTGTTTTCTTTCAAACCTGAGTCAGAGAAAAGAACGATAAATAAGATGTTGGGAACGATGGAAAACATGATTTCAAACGCTACACTCAGAAGACGATATACTGCTCTAGGCTAAAACAACTCGCAGGCCATTCTGGTATCGGATATTACACATGAGATGACATGTGTGCGTACATTATAGAGCATCTGGAGTTTTCTCGAAATGTTATTGGAAGAGTCTAAAAAATAACGTGAGCATAGGCTGTGTTGCTGTGCATGCTCCCATATTTTCGACAATCATTGACTCCTGCAGTGCTGGTCATTGCAAATACAATTTCACAGTCATGTTTAACCTTTCCGCCGAATTCAAGATAACCAGAACGATGTTTTAGTTGGCCTCTGCTTCACGTCAAGCCCTCGCACCCGCTCCCATTTAAAACCCTTCCTGCATGCACCACCAAAAACATAAATAACATTCTCTCTTATCTTGATCGTTTTCTTAGTGAACCGCGCACAAATGTTTGCCGGTCTGGTGGATTACCTCATGAGGTAGTTTATTTGTTTATTTTTTAGATACTATTACTATCGTTTTCCTGCTCACAATGTGATGTCGTTTTTATTTACCCTATTCACATTTTTTTGCATTTTATCCCACTTCTATAGTATTTTCGCGAAAATCGGTGAAAATTCACCCGTCGGGTGCATAAAGCTTGCTTTGACTTCGACTTGATTTGATCAGAACTTATTCTCACCAGAAGTGGGATTATTACATCAAGACCCTGTAAATGGTGTTCGGATGCTATAGCGTCCACAACGGATTGCTACCAAGATGTTCAAAGGATTGACCTGCCTCAGCTATGAGGAGAGACTACGATCACTGAGACTATATTCTGCACTGTACCACCGAATTCGGGAGACTGAATTTTGGCGTATCGAACACTACAGCACTCTAACGATGGGTGTAAGCGGCTGCTCACTTTTTTGCCTCACACAGAACTTAGGGGACATCGTTCAAAGTTACTGATTTCAAACTATTGGTTCCTGTAAGTGGAGACTTGATGAAGCCCTGGCGCATATCACAGCCCTACACAACTAAAAAACGCAAATTAGTTGAAGACTGCATTACGTGTTATCTCCAACCCAAAACTCTGTGACATCTTTCCATCTTTTGCCGAAAAACGATTCAATTGTGCAAATCGCCTCGAGAATATATTTTCTGTGACGCCATCACATCGCGATTTGGTGTAATAGGGGCACACGAATTTTTAAGATAGTGAAAACAATAGATCAGCCAAAAATTCGTTATGGGTAGGCCATTTTAAGTCAGCAAATAAGAATGCGTTCGCATTTCAATCCTTCTTAGTGATGTCAGCTGAGCTGTGCATGAACATCGTTCCGGTGAAATCAGCTCCGGGGAAGAGGAAATTTGCTATTGGACAAAGCAAGGTAGTTTTCCTATCACATGGGCACCAGTTAGTTTGGTGCCAGCAAATCGCAAACAGTGACTGTTCCAGCGAAGGGAACAAATGTAACTGGTCTCGAGGAATTTTGCTTCAGGCGATGACGGCTGTAATTCTTAGCGTTTGAAGTTGAACTACTTCGCTTTGATATATATAAATATATATATGGCTATCCAAAAATCACCGGGTGTTACAAACAAGGTTATTGTGACGAAAATACGCTTCCTGGGTACATGTATATGAATGAACTGATCAAAGATTGCCAGATACGGCAAGAACCGCGAAACCGGTCGTGTGTTCCCAAGGAAATTTTGTCCAATCATTCACATACTACTTAGTATTACTATTATATTATTATATACATGTGTGCAGATACAGAGGAATGATACAGGATACATTGTGTAAACCTCTGTTCAGAGCTTGTGCAATCAAATATTTCTGAATAAACGAGTCTGTGAGCGAACAATTATTTTCGGATATTCCTAGTCATGCTCTTACATATCATACAGTGGAAAAATTCTTACATAATGATAGCCATTGGCTTAAGTTAAGGTCATTAATCAGAGGCAGAGCGTAAGGGAGGTGTATGCGTGTGTGTGTGTGTGTGTGTGTGTGCGTAGGAATCGTTAGTGTGTTAGTTGTTGTGACCTTTCCCCACTTGGGTCAAGTAACACGTCCTGTTCTGTCTTAGTTTTTACACCCGGCCAAGGCAATTGGAGCGCCTGCACCAGTCGTTGTCTTGCACACAGGTTGGGGCCTACTAAGCGAATGGCGATCGCCTCGTCCATGGCCAGTGTCCAAACTCGGGCCGCCTTTGATCGATTAAGTGGGATACGATAAATAACATCGAAAGCTTTCTCCGTTTCGATCTTGTGCCCGGTGTCAACGAGATGCCCCAGGATTACGCTTGAGATACAGTCAGTCTTCCCCTGAATTAACCATCGCGGGTGGTGCTCCTTAACGCGCTGAGACAAACGTCCCACCGTACGACCTATGTAACATGTGCCACAGACGCACTTAAAAGTGGAAATTACAATGGATGAGGTCAGTTTCGGCAGTTTGTCTTTTAATTGCATTCGCATCACCGGTGGTACACACACACAAATACACGCGCATTCACCTCTCTTACTCTCTGCCTTCGATTAATAGTCTGAAATTAAGCCAATGGCTATCATCATGTAAGAATTTTTTCCACTATATGATACGTAAGAGCATGACTAGGAATATCCGAAAACAATTGTTCGCTCACCTATTCGTCTTCTCAATGCTGTCTTTGAAATATTAAAGCTTTTATTTCTGAATAGTTTGAGTGTTAGTTTAATCATGTTTAGTATGCATTTCGCACCTTCAAAGGGCAAAATATTACGATAGGACTGGATTGGTTCAGCCCCCAATTTCAACCTATCTGTGAAGATAGTTGTGGAGTTAAACAAACTGTGCTACTTAGGCAGCTGCATCTCACACGAGAACACAGCGAGTATGAAGAGTCGGCACGTATACAGAAGGCTCGGTTGACATTTGCCAACTTGAGACATCTGTGGGGCCGTAGCGACATCCGGCTGTCCCTGAAGGACCCAGCGTAAGTTGCAGAAGTTTGCCAACGGTGCAGAGACTCGGCCATTACAGGAACAAGATACAAATAGATTGTCGGTGTTCGAACAACGCTGTCCCTGTTGGATTGTCCGGGTCTGGTGGGGGAAAACGGACGAGCAATCCATAGGCATAGAGTTTTAGANGATAAAGTAGTCGACCTCCGTATATTACGTTAGTTGAGGCGCGAGATCCTTACCGAGGCAGGTAGTGGACGGAAGAAGGTAAAGAGAGATCAAACGAAGACCTGGCATGAGGGCATGAAAACCCTAACCGGACACTGGATCACACAGGTTCCGTTAGGCTCCCTGGGTGGGGACCCCGACATCAGGATAACCGGGGGTTCGGAAACTGAGCAATACGGTTAAATGTCGCAAACAGAGGTGCTCGTGCGTCTACTCCTCATTTTTGCAACCCCCATTTATATAGATCCTCTATTTTCACTTTAAATCTGCTCTCAATATTTTAATCCTCCTGCTCTTCTAACCAGATGTGCAGCCAAAAGAAAGCGACCAAAACTGTCGCACGAAAGAGCAAGGTTAATGGTTGTAAAAACTGAAATGAACTGATATTTTCAATCGTCGTTAAGGTCAACCTCATTCCATGACATTCATGAGACTGACCTCTCCTTTAGCAGGTGAAGGTAGCATAAAGGGAAAATGGAGTAAGTTGTGCTGATAAATACACATCATTTGTTTGTTGCATCACTATCGGCAAATACCTACTTTGAATTCGCCGTTTTTACAAGCCTGTTTAGACAGAGATAGAACAAAATAAGCAAGGAATTGATCAATAAAGGTTAGTTTTATTTTTTTATTTCCTAAAAAATAAAATTAAAAAGATACCTTTAGCACAATCCTTTCCAGCTGGGTTCCGTAGAACTGGACCGATTTGAGGGCTTCAATGTAAATTCTCAAGGACAATTATTCCTACTACAATTGTGGAATGTAGCATTTAAAAAACACGAAATACGGATGTTAATTCCCCTTTCAAACAGTATGAAGTTGAACTCACCAATTACCAACCAAACGATGATCTTCCGCCAGAACAGTCAAATTCCGTATCAGTTGTTTTTTCTCTGCCAACTCTGCAATCATCTGTTCACGAGTCACTTGGTGGGCTGTCGACTGTGGTAGAACGAAGAAACTCGAATGTAAAAATATTCCTACTGTTTGCAAAAGTCTCATCCGAATGAAAACTATGCAAGTTTACTGTTGCAGCAGTTAAAATGCAAAAGTGGTTGTGTAATCGCTGTACGATACAATTAATCACAGAATGACGGTTTTCGAGTCACATTTGCATTTTGCAAACAAATTGACGTGACTCAAAAGCCACGGAAAGCAAAGTGCAATCCATTCAATGAACTCACAGAATCAATCAGATTCTTCAGCTGTTCCATAGCTACGGGAAAGTCACACGTACTAGCCAGTTCCGACAGGTTCAGATAGCGTGCGATTGATTGGACCATATTGGCCGCAATTTCAATGCAATCGGTTCGTATGGAGATCTGGTTATTATAAAAATGGGCGGAAAAACAGTTTTGTGTAGCACGATGGTTCACTTTGCACGATTTAAGAGCCCAATTGTCAGTGTCTTGAGCACATAATAGAGACTCGCTGTGGAAGAAACCGACAGTAAATAGTCAGTAAAATTGATCGGAATGACAGGGACATACTCTACCTTGAAACAACGTACCTTTGAGCTTATAGTCCCTTAGATGTTTTGCTTGCGGTTAGAAGTTGAATATGTTGGATAAGAAATATATATATATATCCGAGTATGAAGGAAACAGGTGAGAATTTAATTCATGGATTGAGGATTTCCATCTGATCGAAGGGAGCTTGCACATCAATATGGCGGTAACAGCATATTACCTGCAGTATTAATATTTTTGGTTTATTCGAATCCATATAAACTTTGAACTATTTAAGCTGAATGTGATTTACGAATGAGCAATAGAGCTCGGTTAAAATTCACAATGAGGATTGTTTTTTATGCCCGTGGGTCCATTTGATTGTAGATATATTCGAGTACGGGATGTAACAGGTCCATGCACAGAGTGACCATCGAAATTATGAGGAAAAAGAAGAAAAGGAAGGGCACCTGAAACGCAAACTGCCGGCGTGCTAAGAAAATTTGGAGGAATTCAAAGGCTTGAATAGCAACACTTTCGTCATCTCCTGATTATTTTGTGAACTAAAATGTAGGTGAACAATAGTTCCAATACACATGCAAAAGGCACTAATGGAATTGAATCCTAGCGGGTAATAGGTAAAAATTTCGAGTATAGCCATTGAAAGATTTCAGCAACAAAAAATCAGATGAAATTTCCCATCCGTGGTTACCTAAATTGGTCCATATGATTCTTTTCATTCAAAGGAAAATCATGGTTTCTAATGCAATTGAATGTATAATATCCAGTAAACAAGATATCAGCTTAGTCCAGTTTGGAACGGATGAACGAAAATACTTTCAACAAGCTTTATTCATGTTCATCGCCAAGCCTTGCTCAATTGTTTCATACAACCGCTAGTTTAGTGGATTTCCTTGATGCTGTAAGAACGTTTACATTTTTTCACTTTCATTTGACTTCTCATTATTGAATGTTAATGATAGAATTTTCAGAAAGGAGGAGGGGGACCATAAAGGGGAAACATGTGCGATAGTATCGGTAAGTTTGTTACATTTGTCATTAAGGGGGGTTATCTTCACATATACTGACGATCAAGGTTTTGTTCGTTAGCCTAATTTACCGACAAGACGTTTTTACGAAGTTTTAGTTTTTACAACTATTAACCATGCACTTAAGCGTGCCGGTTTTGGTTGCTGTCCTTTGGCTGTCTATTTGAATAAAAGAGCAGAATAAAGATTGAAATGTTGAGAAGATAGAGAATTCATATAGATTATGGTTGCCAGAATTTTCAGTGGATGCACCAGCATCAACGTTTGCGACACTCTATCATATCGCTAGTGGTCTCTAACCAGCGGTTACCATAATCTCAAGGTCTCCATCTAGGGAGCCCAGCGGGACTTATGGGACCCAGTCTCCTGGATAGGGTAATCATACCCTCATGCCAGGTCTTGGTCTGACCTCCCTTGACTTGTTCATCCGCTACCTGCCTCGGTAAACATGCACAACGTGGCAACTTATTTAGTGGCATGCACTATACACGTCCCAACCACCGTATTCGATAGAAGCCAACCACTTGTTCCAGTGGACGACCGCGATTACCTCTACACCTAACCTCACCATTGCCCATCCGGTTTCCCTACCAGACTCGTGAAATGTGACAGAGACACTGGTGTTCGAGCATCGACAATCTATTTTTATCTTATTCCCGTAACGGTTGAGTCTCTGCATTGTAGAGCAGCACTGGCCAAACTGCTACAGCATACTCTCGACCCTTCACAGAGAGCCGGATGTCGTGACAGCGCCACAGATGTATCAAGTTGGCAGATGACAACCTAATGTTCTGTATGCGTCCCGACATTTCATCTGTGACGCGTCCGCCAGGAGAGATATATACTTTCTCTACTACCTCCCAAATCAGTGTAAGGTCGGTGGCTGTGTCAACCCAAACTTTCAGTAACATTTTACACTTTGAAGGTGCAAAACTCATACCGAACATAGCTACGCTGGCACTCAAGCTTTCCAGGACGGCTGGCAACTGACCTGGATAGTTTTACAAAAGCCTGATTTTCAACAGGCCCCAATTAATCCTTAAAGGATTAACTGAACCCAGTCTCGGAACTGCTATCTTTTTCTAAACAGTATATACTTGAACAGCCTACTGCGTT